TTTCCCCGGGTTAATTTTTTTTTTTTTTTTTTTTTTTTTTTTTTTTTTTTTTTTTTTTTCCCCCTATACAATTGTCATTAGCCCAAGGAGGTTCACAGATAGCTAAAACCCTGTATTTTGCTTTGGGTTGGAATTAGTAAAGTCTGCTAGGTTGGTCCCACTTGGCTAACTTATGCCACATGAACTTCTGTTCATAGTTATGATAAACAGAATGCAGCTTGTTAGGTTGGCTGAGGAAGGGGGCCTGATATCATCCTTGAATACTCAATTCAGAGCTGGTCAGAAAATTTTTCACATTTTAAGGGTATTTTTTAAACAAAATGAAAGCTTTTACAACCCTAGTTTTTGTTTGGGGGAGTGCCTTTTGAGGGAGGGACAGGACAAGGACAGGCAGTTGTTCTTACTTTCTGCCCTCTGCCTTTTTTCCCCACTAGAACAATGGTGTTCAACCTCCAACCTACAAGCCAGATCCAGCCCACAGAAGCCATATCATCTGGCTCACAGGGCTCCCAATGGGTCTGGAAATGTGATAGCTGGGGAGTGGTGGTAGCTGTAAGTACCACCACTCCCTGACTGTCAAATTTCCAGTCCCTTTGGGCCAGATTACATGGCCTCATACATGGGGCAGGGCCCTCAACCACTGGACTGGGCCTACAGCCCGGATCTGACCCATGGACTGATCCTGGCCTAACTCATCTGGCCCATGGGGCTGAAAGGTTGGGGACTACTGTAATAGAACAAGAAAGGGGCAGAGTAAAATGGGTGGGCAAGCATTGTCAGAGGTGGTGGTTGGGGAGGAACTGCTTTTCCTCCACCCTTTCTTTCTATCATAAGTTTTACCATTTGGAAAAGAAAGTGCTGAAAGGGTTATTGTCTCTCTGACAATTACAGTATGGTTTCAAACTGGCAATAGTGGGGAGAACCATCTCTCTTGAGATGCCAAGCTACAACAAGGGAATGGTTTTCTATTTAGATGATTTTGAGAACAATTTTAAGAATAATTTAAAATCAGTATTTTTCTATGGGGAAAAAAATATTTTGATAAAACCTATTTCCTCATGGCGGGGGGGATGTTTGGTTGGAAATTACCCAGTCTGTTCTAACCAGAGCACAAAAACAAACCCCTGAAAAACCAAACCCTGAATAGAAGGGCTTATGCAGCATGTGCCTGTCCTGTACTTGGTGTAGCAGCATTATCAGTCCTTCTGTTTTATGAGCAGTAGCATCCTTCCACTTCCCACCATGGTGCACTGAAATTGTGGTGGCTAATAGCAGAGATAAGATGACTTTCTGATGCAAATGTAGTTTACCGATGTTGAAGAAGAAAGCCGTTCTTAACTGACATAGTGAGCATATGTGTACTGCTGTTAAATTAATAGCAGAAAGCCAAGCAAAATGACTTTGGAAAAATTTCTCAGACAAACTGTAAAGAGAAGCAGAGGAAGAGAGGAAAGAAGGCTTGCTTGCTGTTTTCATTAAGATGATAAGGTTCCTTGTTCAGTATTGGAAGAAAACTAATTCTTTGTTTTGTGGCAGCTTTGCTGCCTTCTCTCTTGCAACTTTTTACTCAGGATAGAGAGTCCATAATTGGACTCAATGAAGGCTTCACCAGTGGTCAAAACTATTAGAGTGTAAGGTACTGAAATATTATGTTTTTTAACTCTGGGGGGAAAAAAAAGCTACAAGCCTTAAAGGAAACTTCTGATATGGTTTTCATTTGGTCTGGCAGGTTTCTCTTAGAGAAGAGAAAGTCGAGGGGAAATGGGAATTACGAACACATGTTGTAAACTGGCTGGAAATCCTTTAACACAAAAGGAAACAAAGCAGCAAAACAATATTTGATGAGTTGACATTCTTCCCCACCCAATCCCCGCCCCTTCCCTCCCCCCAAAAAGCAACAAGAACAAACAAAACAAATCCAAAGTTTCTTTAACTATATCCACCTCTCTCCCTTCCTCTGCAGGGCCAAATATTTCCAGGGGAAGAAGGTGAATGGAGATTTTGAGATCCGAGTGGAACAGGTCAGTGGTCCTTGATGCCCTCTGTAGAAAGGGATCAGATATGTGGTTGACACCCTGTACATGCAAATGTTTCCGGGCATCAAACAGGATGAGAGTAAAGGAGGAGGAATTTCAAACCCTGTCCGTTTCTCAGAATTATAGAAGCCAAAGATGAAAATAGCCTATTGAGCCACCCAGTCCTTCTTCCTGCCCTGCCCTCTTCTTCTACTTTTGAGTTAAGTTTTAAAGATTTCCCATGGCAAGAATTTCTCTACTTCCCTACTAAGGATTCCCTGTGGTCTAATATGCACCTGCCAGGGAGTCTTGAAATGGAGCCCTGTAACAAGTTGGCGTCCTGGGGCCGGTCTGATCGCTGGCCCACATACTTGTCTCAGGACTAGCTGCCCACCTGCCTCGTCTGCCATGCCTTTGACTAATTGGAAGTTATTATGCAGGCGGGAGGCTGCCTATTTACTTGCCCTGATGCCAAGGGCCTATACATGGCTCCGAACCTCCCCTTATACCATGTCCCATGCCTCACAGATGGCATCCATGGCCTAACACCCAGTCTAAGCTTGTTTGGCCTAACACCTGGCCTATAATTCACTGCCCTCACACTAGGACCCACGCTCCTGTGTTCTCACACTGGGTTCACAATCCCTGTGCCCTCACACTGGGTTCCCGGCCCCTCCCTGTCTTCAGGCTCCCTGCTCAGCTTGGGAACCTCTTGGTCCCCTCATGCCCTTGCCCCAGGAGCTTCACACCCAGCTTCTTCATGGGCTCAGGACCCCACCTCCTGTGGAGCCTCACACCTGGCTCCTTTATGCACCTCAGGACTTGCTGTGAGCCTGGGCCCTTGCTTTGTTCTTAGGGGCTGCTCACCTAGTCTTTCCCCTCCACAGGGTAACCCACAAGGCAGCAGGGGCTGAGGGTTTCTGGTGCCCCATACTTGCCCTTCACTGGGGAGGCATAAGTGTGGCATTTCCTGAGGACTGCCCTGCCACCAGCAGTCCCACCCCACTATCCAGCCCCAACAGGGTGTAGTTTTAGGTCATGCCCCAAAACCAGGAACCTCCAGCCTTCCCCATAGTTCTTGCCCTGTACCTCCAAGATGTTCTGAGCAGCAGCTCCAGCCGGGCAATGTTCCCTCTCTGGCTGCCTGCAGCAAATTTCTGCCTCCACAGAACATTGCCTGCTTTTATCACCAGCAGGTCGGCCCTGCTCCCAATCAGGCGGTTGTGCCTGATTGGAAGTGCAGCTACCTGCAGGCTGCTCTGCTGCTCCCACACCCCTGTGAGTAACAGAGCACAACTCGTGCTCTGTTACAAGTCCCAATCTTGGTTGAGTGCCCCAGTCCCATCTGTGGTAGTAAGCTCAGTGCTACCCTAGTACAGATAATAAATAGAAGGAATAATTTTTCCAAACAATGACAAATGAAGCAAAACGGAGAAGTTGAGAGGTAGACAGTACAAAAGAGCTTCAGTCCTGCAGAAATAAGGGCCATAAAACTATCTAAATGGGTTGATAAAGCCAATTAATATAATTTAAGTAACTAGGCATTTCCAGGATTTCCAAAGTTTAGGATTATTTTTAAATGCAGAAGTTTTAAACCTGTATCTGAAACCTCTCCCATGGACACACTGAGCTCACAGACTTTATGTGGTTGCACATAAGAAACCATCTTTGTGTGTGAGACCATGCCATTAGTATGAAACACTAGAGGACAGTTTTCTGCATGAGTGATATGCTGAATAACTTATGTTACCAATGCTATGATATTATGACTGCTGCTTCTTGTTATTATACTGATGCCATAGTTCTTGGTACCAGTCATCAACAGTAGTAATCCCCAGCTTCACTTCCCAAATGTAAGGCTTTCTTCTGAATTCCACTTCCAGTCCTGTTTCTAAAAATTAACTCACATATATCTTCTTTTTCTACAAAAATGTTACTTCTGCTACCCCCTAAATCATTCCCTTTATTTTCCCACATTAACTCATCTTGCCTCTCAGTTTCTGCATCCTCCTCCTCCTTTCCCATTCCTTCTCCTACATAAATATATATAACCTCCTAAAAGGCAAGCTGGCTCCACTGGTACTGGGCAGTCCACACACAGAAATGGAGTCCCATGACTTCCTTATTTCCCACATGAACAAATTGGGAGCAGTAACTATCTGGGGACTTGTCACCATTTCCAGGAACCACCCTGAGTCTTTTTTACTTCATCTCTTGAAAATCCTTATTTGGGCTGTGTGTTCAAGTTTTGGTGCAAGAACAACAGATACCAAGAAATAGTGTGGGGCTCTCACTATGAACACCATTGCAAGCTAGTATTGCTTTCTCTGCAAGTTACCTCACTGTAACCCCTTTCATATAACAAATGTAACAGCAGCAGCATTACTCAGAAATAAATTTTTTTGGTCAAGAGGAAGGTCCCAGAACAGAGAACAAGCTGCTTTTTCTTCCGTATCTGAAAATTAAGCCCTAGTATAAAAGACTGTGCGCTATTCCCTGCTTCATTGGCCCTTGAACTCAGAAGCTATCACCAGTTTCTCTAGTTAGATTGTTGTCTAGTGAGGGAACTATAGAAGTGGCATTGTTTTTAGGCAGTCCTTGAATGTGACCTCAGGCCATTTTGCATATCAGTAAGGCCAAGAGAGGGGCACTTATCCGTTCAGACTCTACACTCTGTGTACTTTTGTCTCTACTCATCCCTTCTGGAAATCCAGTGTTTCTCACTGCTGCTTTTTTTTTTTTTTCAATTCTTTACTCCCTCCTATAATCATCTATTGCTTTCCCCCCTCCTCTCTATTCCTTATTTATGACCTTTCAACCAAAAGTATGGTGGGACACTTCTTGGGAGCTTTTCTGATACTAAACGCATGAAAGATCTGGATGATAAAAGAGAAGACTTTTTTGTAGTGCAGCCTAGAAAGCCCACAGGAGTGATATGTATACAAGTAAGACCCAACACCTTCCCTTTGAAACTAGATCTCTGATACCAGTGCTGTTACAAAATGAGAAAATAAGTCTGGTAATGAAATGGCACATCAGGTATTCCAGGCATGCTGTAATGATCCCTAACTAACTGATCTGAGTAAAGATCACAAGATCAAATATTGAGTGTTGTGGCTCTTCTGAAGTCATTTGGACCGTTTCGTGTATTTGTTCACGTGTTATTGGCCAGAACGTTTTTTCCAGCTCACCATTGGATCACACTACAAATTTCCACATAGCATTTTGCTGGGCAAAAACTTAGCTCTTCTTAGGAGTAATGTTTTTTTTAACTGCAAAACCAGATTTTACCTGTAGCAGTTAAATCTTTATTTTTTTTTCTAACAGTGGAGAGTGTTGATGTATAACATAGAAATGTTTAGCACATTTGTAAAATAGTATCAGAAACAAGATGCTTCCTTGGTTTTTCTGGAAGTGCTTATTTCTTGGGCATATAATGTAGTTACAGCCATTCTTCTGCGATGTCGAGAAATGGGCTTGAATCTAAGGAAGAGTGTGCCTCGCTCACTGCTCTTTCTCTTTCATCTCCATTTCTGTTAGATCTTTCTTCTTTGTTAACAAGCCCCGTTGGCAGCTTTTTGGGAAAAGAGAAAGTACAAACTGATTTTTATGTTAAGTCATTGCATCATTTATTTATAGTGGGGTGAGAGTGTTGAAAACAGAACAGTCACACACTCTCAACAGCTGAATGTGAGCAATCTAATCTGCTCAAACACCCCTATCAGCATTGGGAGCTGAGTCTCCTTCTGGGAGGCTGTAGGTCTTTTTGAGTGTATACTTGTATGAAAATAGATCACATTCTCAGATTGTTTATTGTGGAAATGAACTACATGACCTCTGCAGCCCCTAGTCCTTCTGTCTTCCCTTCCCCCAGGCCCTTCTCTGTCTGCTAATTTTATTCCCACTGGCATGGAGAAAACAGATGTTCCATTCACTGCCTAGTTCTGATGAATACAAGCAGAAGGATGGTGACGGGTACTGAGATGGTGGGTACTCTCCAGTCCTGTCCCATGGCCTCCAGCCTTTCAAATCATGGAGTGATATAAACACACAGATTTCTTCTTTTGTTTTCTTCTCCTCAGTGTAATGCCCTAAAATGATTTACTGAATACTTTAATAGGATGTCTAAAATTATACATCTCTGGGCACACCTGTATGCCCTTTATTTATGCCCTCCCAGGAAATAATTATCTTCTTAATTTCTTTTGGAGACTGAATAACTGCAAAGCCAAGATCCTGGAAACTGAGAGGAGAAAGAGAGTATAGCAGAAGTAAATAAAGTGTTGGAAGTAGAAAAGGTGGGGGGAGGAGAGTGGTGATTTAGAATGCTTAAAAGATCCAAAACCAGTGGGCACAGGTGACAGTGAGAGCTCCAGCCTTGGGCCCCACTTGGGTGGTGATACAAAATCACTTTTATGGCTTGGTAGCTGGGGGCATTTATATCCCAAATACATCTGGAGAACTTCAGCAATGCCAGAAACTTATCATATGAGCTGTTCCACTTCTGTAATATCCTTCTTCCTTTTAATATTAGTAATATTTATGGATTTGGGCTTTTCCAGTGCAGCATCTGCTTCCAAGGACTCCTTTCTCTCTCATCATCTTGGATGGCAGAGCAGCTGGTGAGAGACTTCAGCCAATACATTGGAAGTCACTGGCTTTATCTCTGCCTTTTGGATCTCTAGAGCATCTTTCATCCAGTGAGACATTTAATACTTTGTTTTAGTGTTTTTAAGTGAATCTAGTCCTGGCATCAGATAATAACTAGTTCTTTCTTGACACAACAAGGCAAAACACAGGCAACAATTATGCAAGCTTCCCCATCTTACCCCATCTGTGTACTAGTCAGGTCCTAAAAATCTTCTCTTAAAATGGTAAGGGTAATTCAGTCTCCATGGTCACTAGGCTTCCATTCAGCAAAGGATTTAAGCATATGCATACCTGAAAGCACTTGAGTCATCCCATCTCTGTTCAGCAAAGCACTTAACTTGGCTTCAATGAAACGT